CTAGGAAAACGACCGGTTTCCACAATACCCTTACAATCCTTGTGTAACCATGGCACGGTGTTACCCAAAACCCAATTCTAGCTATTTGGGGTCCCTACATTAATTCGATCATGGCAGGAAACAGAACTGCCCTGATTGGGAATTGGGGCCACCAGCGCCCTGAGCTTGTGCAACTCTGCTACGCAGAAAACACTTGCTCGCCTCACTAGCGGGGTGTACAGGAACATAATATAGGAACTACTGGAAGCATCGGGATCCATAAGTCATACTACCCTTGTAATGGGGAATCACATGGAAAAGAGCATGGAGCATGAAACGGACACTCGTTTATTCACAAGGTTTCGCAAAGAGGCCCAGATGAACAGGTCCCAGAGGATCCTCCACAAGGCCAGCAAGACAACTGCAAGTCAGAAGTGCCGATCAAAAGCGTCCGGAGGAGAGCAAGAAACTCAAGCAGATCATTCTGGACCACTTTCTTAACAACTATAGTAGTTTCCATTTCATTTTGCATTATCCGTATATAACCCCAATATAACCCTTAAGGGGGACTATAGGGCTATGTAGGATGAGTCATAACTTTCTGATCTGTTGACGTGGTTGCAATTGAGAGTGCCAATCTTGAGCTTTCAAACGCCTGACACAGACCTCGCAGCCAAGTCCAAACAGAAAAGCTAATTGCCTGCTAATTGCTGCTAATTACCCTTTCAAGACTTTTCTGTTTCAGGGTTTTTTGGGATGAACCTCCAGGCACCCAATGCGAACCACATTACAGGACTGAGAAGGCATACCGCTGGCTTTACATGCAGCTATAATCTGAGTGGCCGTGAAGGAATTGAAATTAAGTTAATATAGCCAGGAACCCCCCCTATTATTTACTACATACCCATAATCTTGGAATCTTACTGTAAGTTCCTTCACAGCAACCCAATAATGTAGTAGCTTCCACTTTCGTTTCCATTATCCCTATATAACCCCATAGACTCCCTGTATAGTCCCCTTATACCCACCCTAAACCCTAAACCGTAAACCCTAAACCCTAAACCCAGAAAAGGTCACACAAAAACAACAACAGATAAACTGGGGTCCTTGGTGACCGACAGGTTCTGGAGGGGGCCACTCAGAAGCTCCACGAGCAACTGGAAGGCAGCCTCAGGTCCCAGCTTGGAGATGTGCAGCGGCGGCCTTAGGGTTTCGGGTTGAGGGGATTAGGGTTTAGGGTTTAAGGATTTAGGGTGTTTAGGGTAGAGCCCGGATGCAACAAGGGTGTTTAGGCTTTAGGGTTTAAGGATTTAGGGTGTTTAGGGTTGAGGGGTTTAGGTTTAGGGTGGGATACGGAGGAAGGAAATATACTAGGTATATAAATGGATTGTACGGGGAATATATTCCCCTATTCCCCAATAACCACCACTAATACGCGGGTTCCAAAAATCAAGGATCCAGAGCAGTAGTAAGGATTGTAGTATTTTGGGCAACGCAAGGGTGACCAATGGTTTTGGAAATCTCCAAGTGGGTTTTTCAGATAGGGGTTAGTCCGACATAGGCAGCCCAGTATAGGGCTGGAGTTTTTATCTGCGGGACTCCAGCAAACTACAGGGTTCATGAGGCGGTTGTATCTGGCCATCAGCATACCGGCCGCGCCCTGTGAAATCATGAGTGGCGTGGAATGATGCAGGGGCGCTCATGATGTGGGCATTTCGTAGAACAATCCCTCTACAATCTTTGACAGGCACCCCGAAATCCCCTCCTACTCCCTGCACATGCCTCGTCCCTGGCAGCGCCAAGATTTCGAGAACCCCACATATTCAGCCCTTACTCAGACCTTGGGACCTGCCGAGGCGAGATTTTCAGGATGCCCTTAAGCAGATGCAGGGCCAAGTTGCTGAAGATCTCGGGCGGATGCGTGACGATGTGGGGAAGTTGGCAGCTCAGTCACCTCTTGAAGCCAGCGCTCGGGGCCTCTCTTGCAAAAAGATATCCACAGTGTCCTTTCAATCCTTCTAACTTCCGTGTGAGGGCCTTGGAGCTTGCGTAAAGCCAGGGTGGAGAAGTCAAGTTTATCAACAACAATGCCATTACGAGTCCGCACGACGAGAGTTGCCCTCAAGTTGTTAAAAATGTCCCTATGTTCAGAAACTGCCCCGTGCTTGTGATATCCAGGACGCCTTGCTAGCTGTGTGTTCGTTGAAAGGATTTGCAGGAAAGGGTTATCAGCGTTCTTAGCATCAAGCTTTCTTCTGTGGTGGGCAAGGTACACAGAGATGAGGGCGTCTCCGCTCCCCAATTAATTATAGACCCCACTTTCTTATAGTCCCCAATTATTGGGACCCTGAAGGTGCCAGTGTTTGGATACCCCTTTGTGAGATCCCCAGTTGTCTTGAGATCAGGAGCGAATGTTCTTTAGATCTGCAACAGAGACACAGCTGGCTTTGAAAACCTCCCAAAGCACCGACAGAATGGCACTACATACGCCCAACATCTCTAGACTCTAGACGAAATCTACAAAATCCCTGCTTAGCATGGAATTACACGGCTTCTTGTTGAATGGGAGGGCTTTGGTAACACCAGCCCCTATACCAAGGACCTTCTGAGCCATACGATAGTCGGAGGGCTCTTGTTTTGGGAGTTTGGGTAACCACAATCCGCTTATAATGTTGTGGATGATGCCTTCCACTTCAGCCATTCCTACCTCCTGGGAGGGAGTATATAAAGATCATATTCCCTACTACGCTGCAGTGAGTCCTTCATTCCTCACAAAAACTGCCTCCCGTATCAACCGACGGTTACTCAATACTCCCGATGATTCTGTGATGGTGTCATAGTGCGAGGCATTCAATACCGTCCTCAGAGTATTTAATTACAGTGGGAGGGTTGTAGAAGAGGTGAAATAGATTATCTTCAGGCAAAAAAGTTGGAACATGGAAATAAGTGGATCTCTGCTGCCCCGTTGTTTCTGTCCTGAGGTCCCGCGCCCTCAATCCTACAGGGGTCTAAAGGGGGATATGGTAGTATCTCCCAAGAGACTCAATATAGACCCCCAAACATTATAGTCCTTATTATACGGACCCCAAGAGGGTACCCCTAATTTTGGGAAACACCCATATAGAGGGATATGGGGCGACATGGATATATTCCAACTTTCTGGGTTCCTTAAAGCCCAAACCCTAAACCCAAACCCTAAACCCCAAACCCCAAAACTCCAAACCCTAAGCCCCAAACCCCAAAGCGTAAACCCTTCACCGGCAGATATGGATGTTCCAACTTTCTGTCTTCCACTGCTTTTGTCAATTAGGAGCCATAGTCTAAATTCCCAGTATCCCCCTAAATAACCCCTCATAATAGTCCCCTACATAACCCCCTTTAAAGGAGTTTAGACTAGATAGCTCATATGGGTGGTTGTCAAAATTATGGTCCCCTTTTGGGTACCTTAAATATTAGGCGCCGTATTATAATCGGGATCCAAAAAGGGACCATAATTTTTAACAACCACCCATACGACAGAGGCTGAAGACCGAGCCGCAGGATGCAGCCTGAGTTTTGGGCATCAACGTTTAGGGTTTCGGGGTTTAGGGGTTTAGGGTATAGGGGGTTTAGAGGTTTAGTGGTTTAGGATTTAGGGATTAGGGTTTGGGGATTAGGCTTTAAGGTTTAGGGATTAGCGGATAATGGGAAAGATAATGGAAACCCCCAATGAGAAGCAAACGGAAAATAAATTAGAAAATGACATGGAAACTGGGGGCGTATAGGATGGAAACAGTATTAAGGTTATGTAGGGGTTTAGGCTTTGGTGGTTCAGGGGTTGGGTGTTTTAAGGTTTTAGGGTGTAGATTTAGGGCTTAGGGTTCGGGTTTGGGGGTCTGCGTTTTATGGTTGAGTGAGGAAGTCACTTGATAGGGGCTTCCCAAAAATGCGGATATACGTTCTGATAGGGAAGTGGGAAGTTTGGAGCTTATACTTAGTTGATTTCAGAGAGAAACAATATGCAGATGAGTGGAAGCTTAAGAGCAGTTGTGAGCCAGCTTTTTGGGGGTACGTGTGTCAGCTTCAGGAGAGAACAAGGAACAAGGAGCCTAGGCTTTGGCATGTGTGGTGTTCAGCTTTGGTATGCATTATCTATGTACATTACAATGTGGCGGTAGGTGTGCCACCTTCTCATTGGGTTGCGGGGCTACGCATGAACCTTCCAGTGGTCATGTGCAAAGACAAAAAATTGTGAAGGGAATGCGTTGAGTGCATGTGGAGCACATGGTGACTTTGAGGGCTTGATGTGGTTTTCTGAAGAACTGCAGAGTCCTCGTGTAGAAGCCATGGGTAACTTCTCAGAGGCGTGTGCATCGGGGATGACCCCATTTGACGTGAGATGTCGCCTTCATTTCCGCAATGCCCAACCAAAAAGCATGTGGCCATTGCACACTTTCTTCTTTGCCCTGCACAATATAAGCTTTCCTCCTGGTATCGTGCTCGATGCATAAATTGCCTGATCTAAGCTGTTGAGTTGATTCGTGCAACTCGTGACTATCTTTCTCAATGGCGATCCTTCGTCCATGTCACCCAAAAATTTCCAACTTCAACACATACCGCCAGAGAATCCTCTACGGGATGACTAATTGTGCTTCAGTCCCCTCAGTATCCTGATCTTTCCTGCAGAGTGAGAGGCCGAGCCGTCGCCACCTTCATCAAAAGGCTTGGTTATGCGGGGATGAAATAAAGAGTTATATAGGGTTATATTACAAGGATGAAGAGGTTATATTGCGATGCATAGTGCTCATGTGGGGATATAAAGAGATTAGCAGACATGTTTGGCATTCGGGGTCAGGCCTCCATTCTCAGTCTTCAATGGCACAGTACAGCTGGAAGTAGTGGCAGTGGTAGCGGTCGGAGTGGTAAGGCGCAGGAGGGGACTAGTACTGACACCAGCTTGGGTTGAGTAGATTACGTATATTGGGGTTACATAGGGGTAATATTGGGATATTGGGGTTATATAGGGTTTATATTGGGATAATGGAAAAGAAAATGGAAACTACAGGAATTATAGGGGTTATATAGGGATACAAGTGCAAGCCCCTCAGTTCATGACAGCTGGCAACCTTGGTTTTTCCAGGACCGCGTTTCCACAATCAGGAAGGCGGTTGGCCACATGCTGTTTCGAAGCTGCCACGTCATGAACACAGAGATGATCATAAATGGAATAATTCAGCGCTGACAGCAAGCCAGGCAGCAAGAAGGATTGTACGGGGTAGCTTGCATAAATGGGGAGGGGACCCCAATTTCGACCCCAAGATATCATAGTCGTTACTATAAGGATCCCCCAAAAAGGGACCCCTCTCGCCAACTTACTGAAACCTCCGCAGTTCGGAGCAGAGACCCCTGGAGCACTTGGAGCTTCAGGATCAATTGTAACACAATGATAACTGGTACTTAACACCCAGGAGTGAGCCTATTACGGAAATGAGTGGGCCGTTATTTTGGGTTATAAGTGCAGAGCTTGGGATCCGATTTCCCTAAGCCCTATACGCCCCTTAATAACGCCTGCACAAGCAGAAAATACCCCTTAATAATGATATACGAATTATGTAACTCTTCATGCTTGGGTTGTAGTTGCCTCTAAGCTCCAAGCAGGTCCAGAGTTCGATCCAGTGGAGCTGGAGAAGAGGATGGATCGAAGGCCCCTGGTAGCGAAGCCATCTGAGTTGTGGCCGGTTTTTTATGCGAAATGCCAAACGCGGTTATCCAGGCTCTTACAGGATGGGGCCCCGAAACTGCAATAGAAAGAATACAAGGATTTAAGTTCCTGAGCAGCAAGCCAGTTTGCTGGTAGAGCTCGCTGGGGGAACCTGGCAGGATAGTGGATCTGCATGAAGAGACGAGGAGTTCTGGTACTGTGGGGTTCAGCTCTTAGGGGTTTAGGATTCAGGGTTTAAGGTGTAATTAGGGGTTTAGGATTCAGGGGTTAGAGTTTTGGGGGTTTTGGGGTTTACGGGTTTGGGGGGTGGATGCAGGAACCTGAATGTCCTAACTCCCTCGTCAGCCCCAGACTGCCCTAGACCTTCTGACATCCTTGCACCGCAAGTCCCATCCCCTGGTACCCAACCCATTTCAGATTAAGTATTCGACTTCTGAATTCAGAGCACTCTGTGCAACCTGACTCTCAAAATCATAGCCCAGCCACTGGCAAAGTGGCAGCAGAGATGCGTGTAGCAACAACAATGCGAGGAATCTAGGGGCTTCAGGACGTAGGACCCTCCTAGGGAATAATATCAGCACCATATAAAGGGTACACAAGGTCATAGGATTAGGGGTCCCTTCAGGCCATCCTAGGGCTCCTCGCAGTAGCTAATGAAGGAAGCTTCTGGATGATGTGGCCAAAAAAGCTGCGCACGCAGCGTCCGAGAAGCTGCTCGCAGACAAGGCAGGGGTCTCTTTCGTGGTCCTTCTCGAAACATTTTTATTCTTATTCCTATTATTATTATTACTACTATTAGTATTACTAATATTACTACTATTATTATTACTATCATGGTAAGTCACCATGCAGCACTCCTTGGAGCCAGGCGCCCAGCCCTTCCCCGCCCACGCCGCGGGCGGGGCCGGAGCCCGCGGAGATGTTGAAGCAGCTCCAAGCAATGATCAAGGAGGCGAGGTGTTGGATTTAGGGACCCCCAGTTTCTGGCTCTACAGAAGGGATCCCTCACTGGATCTATGGTAGCCCGGGCCAAGGTTGAGGGAATCAGCACGGGGTAGGATGGCGTGTCTGCCTCTGCTTCTATGCAGAGAAGTGTTTCAGGCGTTTGGGGTCTGCATGGATAATCCAGATTTGAAGAGTATGTAGCACAAACTACCCCTTAACATTCTGAGGTAGCTGGCATTCCTGCCCGTCTGGGTTCAGAAGGTTGCTACAGCAATCGCCAATGATTTTAGCCCCGGGCTTCTCTACGAGTTTGTATGCAACCCTAAATCTGCATTAATGTCTGCATGTAATAGATGTGTATACTTGTGTGTCTATGTATACTTGTGTGTCTATGTCCTAGTATATTGGGGTTACAGATAGGGATAATGGAAAAGAACATGGAGACTACTGTAATAGGGTATCGTGTGCAAGCAAGTAAGCAGAGCTTTACAGCAGCAGCGGCTGTCCTCCCCGGCTGCTTAGATGCGAAGGAGCTCCAGCAGCAGCTGGCGACGCAACAGGCTGAGGCCAGATACGAAGGATCTCCAACAGTCATGAAACTTACTGGCTCTTGGTACGGAAGAAGGGTACATGTTATATAGGGGTTATATAGGGATTATATTGGCATGTTCCCTACGAAGAACCAGTAAGGAAGGATCTCCACGAGTCATGAAAATTGTGGCGTAGTGATAGTAGGAGCCATATTCTAATTCCTACAGCGTAGTAAGATTGTAGGAAATCGTATTCCTTGTATGCATGTACAATGATCCATAAAAATCCACTTCCACTCAGCTATCCAGGCCTCTCAATTAGCTGTGCTGACATGGCTGCCACTCGTGGTTGCCACTTGATACACTTGCAAGGTGTCAAAAGCAACAGCCGCCAGTCTGGAAGCAGCTGATCTACTCAGGAAGCTTCCAGTGGCAACGCAGGCCTGGTGACTGCTGAACAGAAATATGCAACTACCTGTGTTTGCCCAAAGCCTTGCATTGTCTTCAGGCGCCGCCCGCTGAGATCGTGAAGGTTGAGAAGGTTAAGGCGGCGCCCCCCAGCCGCCAGCCTTCCCCGGAACCTTCGGTGCAGCCGCAGCCCAGTGAAGAAACCATCCCGGCCCTCACACAGCCCGAGCCATCGGAGCCAGAAGAGCCGGAGACCGCGGCTCCGAAGGCACAGCCCAAGCCGCAGCCTTTGGATCTGCCAGAGGCCAGACCGCAAGCCTCTGAGGCTTCCCCGGCTGAGTTTGCCGAAGTTGAGGCCACTCCTGGTTGGGGTGCCATGTCACCGGCATATCAGAAAGCACTGAAGGAAATGCTTGCCCAATGTCAGACGGAAGAGGAAAGGGTGCGCTTCATGGTTTCCATGGCTACCGAAAGGACGCGGCCGCGGAAACCAAAGAACACAGAGCCTTCCAACTTAGAGCTGACATGGGGTGAGCTCCTGTCCCCGAAGGACGCTCAACGGGCGAAGCGGCCATCCCTTACCGAGGAGAAGCCAAAGGTCGATAAGGCGCAGGCTGAAGGGAAGGTTGAGCAACCACTTGCACCACCGGTGCTCAGTGTGCCTCCAAAAAAAGATCCGGGAGAAAAACTTCAGACCACACTTACCAGGCGTGCCTTTGTAGGGGGGCTGGCATCCTTCCTTCAGCGGTGTCGCCCAGACCTGATGGCAGCCCCGGCCCCGGCAACAGCATCTGCTGCTCCTCCGACTGAAGCAGTGCCAGCGGCTGGAACAGCACCTGCTCCATCTGGGGCAGCAGTCGGAGCACAAGCAGCACTAGCAGCAGCGCCAGCAGCGGCAAAGGCAAAGGCAGCATCTGAGCCAGCAACCAGTGTGCCAGCAATTACGCTAGCACCATCAGCAGCAGCAGCATCATCCACGTCACTGGCCCTTCCTTCTGCGGCAGCTTCGTCTTCCAAGCCAGCGATGACAACCGCCTCTCAGCCTCCACTGCCTCCTCCCACTGGGCCTCCAGAAGCTGCCAAAGCTGGAGCACCAGCAGCCCCAGCAGTGGTGCAGCCAAAGCTGCAACGCGCTGCTTCGGCGTCCGGGCCTGAGTTGTGTGGATGCGGTCATGGTGTTTCTGACAAAAAACACGCCGCAAGCCTGCCGCTCTGAATCTCCACAGGCCCTCCTGCACAACGCCTCAGTGACTGGAGCAAGTAGGGCTGGTTGAAGTTGGTGCGGCGCAGATGTTACAATGCATTCTTACATGCTGGGATTGAGATTTTGCGGTTAGGGTACGGTCGTTCCCGTTATGAGGTTGATATTACACTGTCTAAGGTCGGTGGACACATCAGCAACGGTGCTGGGTCCAGCTGGAGCGCCAAAACCCGCGGCTTCTCCCCAGCCACCAGTTGCACCACCAACATTGCCCGGACCACCTGCAGCAACGCCTGTGCCAAAGACTACCAGCACACTGAGCGCTCCGCCTCCCAATCCCACACCAAACCCTTCCACCTCATCCAGCTCTGACGCGACCTCCAAAGCTCCCCCACCACCCAAAGCACCAGCAGCAACTGTGCCCCAGACGCCGCAACCTCCTGCAGCTTGGCCAATGATTGTCTGAGCTCCATCAACTTGAGTGGCCTTACGTTCTTCACTTGCATTCCTGCCATTGCCGCCTTGCTTGCAGGCCACAAGTGCGAGCGGCGAACCGGGAAGGCAATGCCCCCACCACTCTTCTGTTATGTGACAAGTGCGCAAATGGCGTCAGGGCCCCCGCAGCAGCAGTTCCGGTGCCAAAGCCTGGAGCCCATCTGCAAGTTTGAATTACCTGCTATGTGGAGACGCCCACAACATGTTGCAGCAGGGTTGTCTCTTGGTGCGGGGTTCAATGGACCAAATCTTGCCACTTCCTGTAGTCGACTGGTCAGCTGTTGCACGCAGGCCAGCGGATGCCACGCTGCCAAAGTCGATGCCTGACAAAATCCTTATGCTTAGCTGCAACAGAGCCGTGCAGATTGTGAAGAGTTGTAAACTTTAAGGCCTCGAAACAAATTAAAGGCAAGAAGCAGAAAGCAAGGTAGTGCGCAATGCATGCAGGCCTCCAGGTGCCTCCGCTGCGCCTATGTCAGGGTCTGAGCATGGCGGGCATTCCTAATTGTTTTACCACACTAAGTTACTAAGACACTAAGATCTAAGACGGCTCTGTACAAACATTTCTGTCGGGCAGACAGCAAGAGACTTGCCAATCAGAACCAGGCCTCCAGCCGCGACGGTGCCAAAGCCGCGGCCCAAGTTGCAGAAGCGATGTCAACTGTATGAAGGCATCAGTACGCACCTGCAGAGCCCAGATTGCAACAAGCATTCTTACATAATGGGAGTGGAAGACCAGACCGCAACAGATAACCAGATTTTCTGCACATCAGATGCCTGATCGACCTGACCCAAAGTGCAAACCGCCCGGCTGAGACCTCGACGGGTGTCCTCGTCCCAGTAGCAACACCTAGCAAGGAGCACGGATAACAGGAAGACATTCTTTCCTTGAGGAGCAGATGAGGAGTGTCAGTGTAGTATACCTCGTCAGCAGCGCATCAGCAGAACGCGGGAATCATAGAGCGTTATGCGACGGCTGGAGAAAGTGCAACATCTGGCGCCTATAGTATCCCGACGATATGGAATCTTGATCATGCTCATAGACCATATTTCAGCGCCAGGCCGCCTGCCCCCGGGCCTCCCAAGCTGCCACCTCAGTTCAAGGATCTGGGTTTAGGGGCAGGAAAAAGGGGCAGGGACCACAGTTGGGGGCCTTGGAGCTCACTGGTTTGGCTGTGTGCGGCTAAGGGCCGGCTATGAGTTTTGGGTCAAGGCTCCTTCTATAGGATGATTCTTTTTTTTTTTTTTTTGTTTTGTTGTTGT